CCAAACAAAATCCCGGACTGGTGTACACTTAGGAGATCTTGGTCTCAGGCTCCATTATTTGCAGGAAAGAAGTGTTTGTGTATATCATGAATAAAAATTATGCATTATTGATTATAGAATGAACATTCCAGCATAAAATGCATGCCACCTCATTTTGAAATTTGAGACTTTCATGCCACAGAATTTCTTTTGTGCCTTTGAGGCATATTTAATTCTTGTGAGGTTCAAGAAATGTTTTGTCTCTTTACTCTGAAATTCCTATTATGCTAACTCTTTAATTTTCAGTAAGTGAAGTTGATCATATTAATCATCCAGTAAAATAATATTGAGGAAATAAAAATTTTAGAAAATACTCAAAATAAAACTGTTGAAGGAATAACTTACATCCTATTACCGTATACATCTTTATAGATAACGCCACTGCAAATATTTTAAAGAAATAGACAAAAAGAAATTTAAAAGTTATTTTTTCTGGTTTCATTATTTCTTTTCATGTCTAAACTCTGGGTACATTATTAAAATAAATTGTTTATTTCTCCATTTGCCTGAGCTGAATTATAGTATAATTTTAGTCAAACCTCCCAAAACAGTAAAACCTCACTAACTATGTGATCATCTCCAACAAATGTGCTGGTGGTGTGTGTGTGTATGGGGCTGGTGGGGGGCAAGCTATCATATTCCCTCATCACACGGTTCAGTTAACAGCATAGAAAAGGTTCACAACTCAATGAGCTAACGCAGACCCTAATTTTTTCACACATTTCAGAGTCATTTCTGAAATGGTTGACACAACATAGAACGTAGTCAATGGTAGTAATGATTCCCTTTCTATAAAATGCACACCGGTTCTTATATTTATATGCTGGGCATAGATAAGGACAGTGCAAGTGAATGTAGAAAAAGAAAAGATAGGGTAAAGGAGCACTTCGGAAGGCAAAAAAAATAGGTCTTTGTGATGGAATGAACACCCACAAGAAATAAATGGAGAAATCAACATTTAACTTAAAAATTTCAGGAAAAGAACATAAAAAAAAGAATGTGTATATATATACATATATATATATATGTATGTATAACTGAATCACTTTGCTGTATAGCAGACATTAACACAACATTGTGAATCAACTACACTTCAATTTAAAAAAGTCATAAGAGTGGCAAAAACTTTTCATGGATGGAAGGTGATATTAAAACAAAAGAATGAACTCAAGTGTAGCCTGAGGTATAAGCAGTACATGCGAAGTGTTACCAATATGTGTGCATTTATATTTCATTTCTTTTTCAGGTGGAGAGTCTGAGATACATTTGAAAACCAGGAAACAAGGCAGTGGACAGAGGGAAGGGCTCAGTAAGCCCATCCAGAAAACCAGAGAACATTTTTTTGCATTGTTCACAAACAACAGTGATTAAACCACAAGCCCAGAGAAAGAGTTTTTGGAATAGGTGGCATGTAGATTCCTAGTTCCCTTTCAGTTGTTGGACCAAAGGGTTTCCAAGAACAGATGGGAGAATGTCTAGCATCCTTTTGGCGATCCTAAGAGAAACTCCTTGGATTGTCCATGGGACCTACTGGAGCACTATCCTGGCACACCCCACAGAATATTTGTGTGACACCAATTAATTGGCTTATCTACTCCCACTTTGGGAAGTCACATATACATTAGACTCTGGCCTAGGTAAAAAGAAGACATTTTATTAACATGCTGGAGGTATACTTTGCAGGTCAGGTTAGAACCCCACACTCTGTTGCAGAGATGACCATAAGTAACATGAAAAATTCATGAGTCTCTTCTATGTTGTATTAAGAGAGAGAAAAAAAAAACACTTCCAATTTAGATAGCATTGGTTCAGTGGTTTAGTGGAAGTTCACAATTGAGAATTTCAGCCTAATTAGTTTTGACAATCAGATTAACATTAGCTCTAGCTTATATACATTAGCTTTCCTAATATAACTAAGCATAGAGTGTTGATTTGAACCTCACCATACGGAAACCTATGTAATGCCAATAACATCTTGACATTATTAGGTTGATTCTAATACAAGGGATTTGGAATGCTTTGCAAACATTTTGACCATTGATTACGATTTCAGATTAAGAACCCACAGCAAAATGAGATGTCATCACATTACTTATTTTAGCTACTCAGGGATAAAAGAAAGAATGGGCTATAGGCAGAGACCATATAGGGTGATTTTTCAGGTCCTGAACATCTTGCAACATTGCACACCTCCTTCTTCAACACTTAAAAATATTTTCCTCAAAAGATCTTCATTCTATCCAAAATCCAAACATTAGTCAATCTATTTTGAGTGCCAATTTAGAAGATTTTTAAAAGATATGAATGTGCCTCTCTAGAAAGAGACACGTATTAAGATATCAATAACCATAAAGTCTTTAGGGAAAATTCGTTTACTCGGTTAGTCAGCCAATTATCTCACAAGTTCCAGCGAGCCAGTTTCATTTCAGGGTATGTGGGGAAGTCCAGGCACGATCTGGGCAGAGCAGGATTAAGAGGTCAAGACTACGTGAAGGACCGCATATTGTCCCTCTGTTAGGAGGGGAGAACGAGTCTGGGCGGAGAGTGGACGGTGTCAAAGAAAAGTACATGGCAGAGACAGCATCTCGACAACTCATTCTGGTTATCTGGTGCTGAGAAGTCACTCCATCACACACTGGCTCAGAACAACCACGCTCACTTCATCGTGCCTCATAGTGTCTATGGATCAGGAACTCGGGAAGAACTTGAAAGTGTGGCTTTGGCTCAGAGCCTCTCATGGGGTGAGTCAGCCAGCACCTGGAACTAGAGCAGAACAGTGCGGGGACAGCTGGGGCTGGAGGAGCTTGTCTCTCCACATGGTCTCAGAAACTCCACGTGATCCCTCAGTCGGGCAACCTTAGGGCAGTTGGACTGTTTACACGTGCATGAAGGTCTAAAGGGTCAGTACTCTGTCTAGTACACAAATTAGAAGCTTAAGAACCTGTTATAATATAGCCTCAGAAAGCCCAGGGCATTGCTTCTGCCATAACTTATTGGTTAAAATAAGTCCCAAAAGTCTCCTCATTGGGAGGAGAGTCAAAGTCACGTTGGAGGAAAAGAAGAAGAGATGGAAGATACTGTGGTCACCATCTTGGGAAAGCAGTTAGCCCTAGCCGAGGACCAGCTCTGGACATCACTTTTAGCTGATGTCATCCATTACATAATCATATATATACTCAGCATAATTACATCTGTATGTGCCAACAGATGCAAGCAAACTGCAGCTCACTAAATCTCTAGGAAAGGATGCTCACTAAAGTCATATAAGATCCAAAGAATAATATCTACAATCAACCAATAATAGTTCACATTTCTTGAAAATGTACTATATGTCAAACACTGTTAAATAGTTCAGATACATTAGATCATTTAATTCCTCGCAATAACCTGTAATAAATATATATATAAGGAATTTGAGATTAGAGAAAAGCATTTTGCTCCCATTTCTGTAGAGTATAACTAAAGTTCCCATGGTCTTTCACACCTGAAGAGAGAGACCTGACAGCTCTAAATTCATAGTCCTAATGGTCTAATCTCAGGAATAGAGACAAATCATAAATTGACTAATTCTTACTAAAATTGCAACACAGAACCAATGCAGCTTAATTACTAATGTGTACCACAAAAAAATGGAGAACGTTTTCTGGGGAGGATATACAATCTGAAGCCTCTGTGATTATAACAATGTCTTTCCTCGAATAAAAACTTACAAGACATGAGATGGTGGATAAACAGAAAATATGCAAAGTGAGGCAGAGAGAAAAAGAGGAGGAAGAGAATGGGCAAAAGTCTTTTTTGAGGAGATAATGGCTAAGAGTTTTCCTAAAGTGATGAAAACACATTGACCCACAGATTCGAGAAGCTCAGGAAACCCCATGAATGAAAACTGGAAAAAAAATAACACACTTAGGCACATCAAAATTCAAATGTTGAAAACCAAAACCAAAGACAAGACCTTAGAAGCAGATGGAGATAAATGACACGCTACTTTTTAAAATGTGACGTTATATCTGATGACTAACTTTTGAAGATAAACAATAAAACCTAGGAGAAGGACAATGAAATTACATCTGCTAAGGGCCTAAAGGGGTGAAAATCTGCCACTTTATAATTCTAATCCCTCAATAAACATCCTTCAAAAACGGAGGCAATATAAACTTATTTTCAGATACCTCACCACCTAAAAAAGAACTAAAACAATATGTGCCAATTGACATGCACCATAAGAATTACTTAGAGTTCCTTTAGACTGAAATGAAATGATAATAAGTGGAAGAAGAAAGTTCCAGAAGAAAGGAAGACCAGAAAAGGTAAACTTGTGGAGAAATATGTCACTGGGACTTTTAAAGCAAGAGTGATAATTCTGCCTTGTGAGTTTATAACATAAGAAGAAATAAAATATGTATCAACAATACCAAAAACTGTGGGTGGGTAAATTGAGTTAAACATTTTAAAATTTTTTTACATCATTCAAAAAGTAGTCAATATTCTAATTTAAGGGAGATCGTAAGAAGTCAAGGATACATATTTTAAACCATGAAAATAAAAATGTAATTTAAACAGCTAACAGAAGAGATAAAATGAGCAAAAAGTCACTAAGTCTAAAATTATACGGACATGCCTGGCATAGCCAAGTCAATTTTGAAGATGAACGAACTTGGAGACCTTCCACTATCTGATATCAAGACTTACTGTAAAGCAACAGTCATTAAGACAGAATACGTATAAAAATAAACCTATGAAACACAACAGAGAACACCAGAATGGTTTACAGTTTATAACAGAAGTTCCATGACAATTCAGTGGGGAAAAAAATAATCTTTCAACTAAATGATTCTGCAGTAAGTGGATATCCATATAGGAAGAAACAAAGAAAGAAAAAGCAAATGACTCCTTGTCTTGGATCAGGCTGCAACAGCAGAAGACCACAGGCTTATGAACGACAGAAATTTATCACTCACAGTTCTGGAGGCTGGATGTTCGAAATCAGGGTGCCAGCGGGGTCAGGTCTGGTGGGGGACTGCTTCCTGCTTGCAGACTGCCAACTTCTCATTTTATCTTCACATGCTAGGAAGAGAGTAAGAGGGTTCTCTGAGTGTACTAATCCCATCCTTGAGGGTTCTTTTTAAAGTCCTTTTTGTGCAAAACTATGATAAAACGATTATTTTGTGTTGGATAGAACAGGAAAAACTGCAGAATTTACCTGAATTTCAGCTTTCTTGGATTACTGAATGCATTATATTTTTCAAATTGAGAAACATAGCATTTTTTTTTCACAGGCAAAGATAGCAATCAGATGTCTGCTCTAATGCCTAAAACAGTTGATTTGTTCCAAGTTTTATTCACTGACCTAAGCTTACACTGGCCATGAATACAAGGTGACAATTTCACAAATGTCATTTTTAATGATTTATATTCAAAGTATAATAAAAAATAATCTTCAAAGCAAATTCATGAGAAAACTCATTTCTTAAGTCAGCACTCAAAGCAGACAAGGAAAAAAAAAATGGAGGAGCATTTAAACGACATGTACCACAGCAGGCACTGTAATAGGTATTAATTATATTTCCTGTGTTTCATAAAGCTATGGATAAACATGGTGACCTGATAAAAAGGAAGGAAGGTCAAGAGACTTAGATGTTAGACTTTCTCTCTACTAAGCTGTGTTACTCCAAGCTATTCAGTGAAATTGCTGTATAACTTAGCTATTGCTTAGAAAAGGCCTCAACATACAACTGCATTACAAAATTTTTGTGATGTGGGCAACCAACATGCAAGCGCTCTCTGTGTTGATGGGGATCTTCAAATGGTGTCAAAGCAGGGTCCTAACTCCCACTCTAGAAGCCAAACGGAAGGAAACAATTCTATTTATTCTCTGTCGGTGGAATGACTGCTTTGTAGCTTAGGCTCTTGATCAGATCTTGGAATCTTAAGGAAGCACCGTAGGGATCAAGAGTCAGCCCGAAGTTTTCATGGGACAATGGTGGATTGGGGGCAATAAGGCAGCAAGAGTCCAGTGGTGACACCTGCTGATTTTGGGGCTGCTTTGCCTCAATTATTTCTAATACAAATTTCTGTAATGTGTTCTCTTGCTTTGCCATTGGTTCTGTGAGCTACGATGAATCAAGTCAATGTTTTTGCCTTTACCACTTCCCATGAGAGGCATTGGCTTCTGCCATTTGCAGCCAGGAACCTTGGCATGGAAAACAAAACATTTGTGGCATTCAACTCAGAAATGAAGTGGATAGAACCGTTTTATAAAGTTACAATCTATAAAGAGTTTAATACCTAAAAAATTGACACTACTTGCAACCTTTGCATTCTTATTTAATAATAATGTATTATCAAGTGACTATTTTTTCAAATATTTTCACATAATCAATACAAACTTGTGAGCTGTGAAGGGAAATAGATCTTTAGCATGTATGTATGGCTTACTAATTTTTAAAGAAAATTTAAAAACAATAAAACTCACGATTCAGACACAAAATTCTCATTTCTCAAATCAAAGTTCTACCATATAAGTAGATAGTGATCTTGGAAAAATGACCTGCCATCTCTAAATTTAATTTTCCTCATCTTCAGAGGGGAAGTACTAAAATTTAATATTGGCCATGCTAATACCTTTATAAATGGTAAATATATTATGAATTTGAAAATCAAGCAAAGTCTAGAATATGGAAAGTCACTGAAAACAACAACAGTGATGATTTTCCAAAGTAGTTGTGACTTAGTCCTCTTTTTATTATATGAACAATGAACTCACAGAAGCCAGCTTTGAAATTAATAGCTGAACATGGCCTCTTTGTAGCTCACCACGACAAAGCTCCATGACAGACATCCTCTCTGCACTAATCTGCATTTTTCCCCAGAAGAAACCCTTCGTTTTATTTTTGCTTGTAACCCCTCAAAGATCAGTCCCACCTTCCCTCACTGAGATGCAGCCCCTCCCCCAGCACTTTCACAAAGACCGATTTCCTCCCAGAGCTAAAATGAACACCCAGTTCCCAAGATGGCCATCCTCCATGCTGCCCTTCCTCACCATCTGCCAGGTGAACTTGACCACCTTTTAGCTCTCACCCCAAAAATCCCACATGCCACAACTACTGAAGCCCGTGTGCCTAGAGCCCATGCTCCGCAATAAGAGAAGCCACCACAATGAGAAGTCTGCGCACTGCAACAAAAGGGTAGCCCCCGCTCACCACAACTAGAGAAAGCCCGCACACAGCAACAAAGACCCAACACAGCGAAAAATAAATAAATAAATACATAAATTTTTTTTAAAAATACATCTACACGTGGAACAACTCTACAGAACACCTACTGAGCACTGGCAGAAGACATCAGACTTCCCAAAAGGCAAGAAACTCCCCCACATAACTGGGTAGGGCTAAAAAAAGAAAATACAGAGACAAAAGAATAGGGATGGGACCTGCACCTCTGGGAGAGAGCTGTGAAGGAGAAAAGTTTCCACACAATAGGAAGCCCCTTCACTGGCAGAGATGGGAAGTGGGTGGGGGGAAGCTTCAGAGCTACGGGGGAGAGCTTAGCAACAGGGGTGCAGAGGGCAAAGCAGAGAGATGCCCACACAGAGGATCGGTGCCGACCCGCACTCACCAGCCTGAGAGGCTTGTCTTCTCACCTGCTGGGATGGGTGGGGGCTGGGAGCTGAGGTTCGGGCTTCAGTCAGATCCCAGGGAGAGGACTGGGGTTGGCGACATGAACACAGCCTGAAGTGGGCTAGTGCACCACAGCTAGCCAGGAGGGAGTGCGGGTAAATGTCTGGAGCTGCCTAAGAGGCAAGAGACCATTGTTTCAGGGTGGGCAAGGAGAGGGGATTCAGAGCACCGCCTAAACAAGCTCCAGAAGTGGGCATGAGCCACAGCGATCAGCTTGGGCCACAGAGATGGGCATGAAATGCTAATGCTGCTGCCTCAGCCACCAATAATCCTGTGTACAAGCACAGATCACTATCCACCCCTCCCCTCCCAGGAGCCTGTGCAGCCCGCCTCTGCCACGGTCCCGTGATCCAGGGACAGATCCCCCCCAGCAAACACACCGTGTGCCTCAGGCTGTTTCAACTTCACGCTGACCTCTGCCACCGCAGGTTGGCCCTGCGCTCCAATTATAATTACTGTATCCCACTCTCCCCCTCGGGCATGAGCGAGCCAGAGCCCCCTAATCAGCTGCTGCTTTAATCCCATCCTGTCTGGGCAGGAACAGATGCCTGAGGGTGACCTACACGCAGAGGCGGGGCCAAATCCAAAGCTGAACCCCAGGAGCTGTGCGAACAAAGAAGAGAAAGGGAAATCTCTCCCAGCAGCCTCAGGAGCAGCGGATTAAAGCTCCACAATCAACTTGATGTACCTGCACCTGTGGAATACCTGAATAGACAACGGATCATCCCAAATTGAGGAGGTGGACTTCGGGAGTAACTGTAGACGTGGGGTTTGCTGTCTGTGACTAACTTGTTTCTCATGTTTATGTTAATCTTAGTATGGTTTTTAGCGCTTGTTATCACTGGTGGATTTGTTTATTGGTTTGGTTGCTCTCTTCTTTTTTAAAATTATTATTTTTTTATTTTAATAATTTTTTAGTATTTATTATTTTTTAATTATTTTTTTCTTTCTTTTTTCTGCCTTTTCTTCTGAGCCATGTGGCTGACAGTGTGTTGGTGCTCTGGCCTGGTGTCAGGCCTGAGACTCTGAGGTGGGAGAGCCGAGTTCAGAACATTGGAACACCAGAGACCTCCCAGCCCCATGTAATATCAATCAGTGAGTGCTCTCCCAGAGATCTCCATCTCAACGCTAAGACCCAGCTTCACCGAAAGGCCAGCAAGCTCCAGGGCTGGATGCCCCACGCCAAACAACTAGCAAGCCAGGAACACAACACCACCCATTAGCAGAGAGGCTGCCTAAAATCATACTAAGACACCCCAAAACACACCACCAGGTGTGGCCCTGCCCACCAGAAAGACAAGATGCAGCCACAACGACAAGAACACAGGCACCAGACCCCTCCACCAGGAAGCCTACACAAGCCACTGAACCAACCTTACCTGCTGGGGGAAGACACCAAAAACAACGGAAACTACGAACGTGCAGCCTGCGAAAAGGAGACCCCAAACAAGTAAGTTAAGCAAAATGAGATGACAAAGAAATAGGCAGCAGATGAAGGAGCAAGGTAACAACCCAACAGACCAAACAATTGAAGAGGAAATAGACAGTCTACCTGAATAAGAATTCAGAGTAATGAGGGTAAAGATGATCCAAAATCTTGGAAACAGAATGGAGAAAATACAAGAAACATTTAACAAGGACCTAGAAGAAATAAAGAGCAAACAAACAGTGATGAACAACACAATACACGAAATTTAAAACACTCTAGAAGGAATCAATAGCAGAAAAACTGAGGCAGAAGAATGGATAAGTGACCTGGAAGATAAAATAGTGGAAATAACTACTGCAGAGCAGAATAAAGAGAAAAGAATTAAAAGAATTGAAGACAATCTCAGAGACCTCTGGGACAACATTAAGTGCACCAATATGTGAATTATATGGGTCCCAGAAGAAGAAGAGAAAAAGAAAGGGACTGAGAAAATATTTGAAGAGACTATAGTTGAAAACTTCCCTAACAGGGGAAAGGAAATAGGCAATCAAGTCCAGGAAGCACAGAGAGTCCCAGGCTGGATAAATCCAAAGAGAAACGTGTCAAGACACATATTAATCAAACTATCAAAAATTAAATTCAAAGAAAAAATGTTAAAAGCAGCAAGGGAAAAGCAACAAATAACATACAAGGGAATCCCCGTAAGGTTAACGCTGATCTTTCAGCAGAAACTCTGCAAGCCAGAAGGGAGTGGCAGGACATATTTAAAGTGATGAAAGGGAAAAACCTACAACCAAGATTACTCTACCCAGCAAGGGTCTCATTCAGATTTGATGGAGAAATTAAAACATTTACAGACAAGCAAAAGCTAAGAGAATTCAGCACCACCAAGCCAGTTTTACAACAAATGCTAATGAAACTTCTCTAGGCAGGAAACACAAGAGAAGGAAAAGACCTAC